TAAGTTTATCACTAATTAGATTTTCGAAACAACACTCCGTATGCCTACAGTAGGTGTCCCCAATATCAGTAAATATGTCATGATGTATGTATTTATGTGTTCTGGCATAAATTTGACTCGTTAGTTTTTTTTTGACGAGAATGGTTGAATTGCAATCTTTTATAAATAGATGCTATCACATTCTATCGCATCGATCGACAAAAGAGAAAATTTGAAAAAAAATGTTTATTGTGAAACCGGAGTTTCTATCATAGATGCGTTGTCGTTTCTCGTGATTTTGACTTGTACTGATTTGCTCGGTTGATCTTTCTAACGATTTTCCGGTAAAATATTAAAATTTTGAAAATTTAGAAGAGTATCTATGTATGGTAGATGCGAACATAACGTTTTCAATCGTAACGTATTGGTAATAATTGGGTTTAGGCCTGTTTCAGCTATTGACAATGTCATTTGAGGTCTCCCCTGGGAGGCTTTTACGTAATTATGAGTATTGTGTTTTTCTTAGGTGTGCCTCTACTTTGAATGATGGAATTGACATGTGTCAATTTTGTTTTTTGTTCTGATTCTATGGAGCTTTCTGGTGTAGTTGTACTTTCTGTATATACATTGTTATTTGAATTGTTTTTTATTATAGAAAATGTTATTGTACAAGTCTTTTTGTTGTGTGAACAATAGTCTTTTTTGTGGTTTTAGTTTGTTGTTGAGAACGCGTTGATGGGCCTTTGGCTGATGCCATTTTTTATCAACTATTTCGGTGAGAAGTTGAGAGAGTAATCGAATACCTAATGGAAGAAACAGTTTAGATTTTTTTTCTTTGGATGGTCTTTCTTTATTACCTGCTGGTGAAAAATGATTGGATCCTGGTTGAATTAAATGTTCTTTGGTGTTGTCCCATATTTGCTTTGTGTTGAATATTTGATAACCTTTTTGTGTTGCTATCGAGTTTGTTTGAGTTAGGATGGTTTCAAATTGCTGTTTCTGTTCGTAGTTCAGTGTTTGTTTAGGAGGGTAGGGTTCCATCCATACATATAGTTGCTCCTGATCTTTTTTTTTTAGACATTCTTCCATGAGAATGTCGCATGCTTCTTCGAGTTGAATTTTGTATTGGTCTAGATGTCTGTGAAATGGTAGTTCGGATGCTTCTAGTTTAGACCTATGAAAAAATGTTACCAACGCATATAAACTGTAATAATAATAGGCGAATAGATCGCCACTTACATTCTCATATCACTGTGGTATGATGAAAATATTACAAGATGTATATAACTGCAATTTGTGATTGTTTGAATATAGTTAATGTTTTCTTTTGCTGATGATGTGTGAAGTGTTGCGATATGTACATATATAAGCGTTGTCGATGAATGTTGACAATAGTATTGACGTATATCTTTGTAGTCGGTTGTTCCACAGGAGCCGCCATGTTGTAAACGTCTTTCACCTGAACAAAAAAAACATAGTATGAAAGATGATAAATCAAAATGTGGTGTTTTTACCTTGTAGCAGTTGATATTCGCCGTGTTGCATTTTCGCTTCCTGAATCGATAAGAAACGATTAATTTCAAATAGTTTGGCAAAATCACGATAGATGGTGCGTATTGAAGAATCACCAATGAACAAAACTGTTCGGTTCCGAAAGGTTCGAAAGACCTCGGTTTGTGACAATGTGACACGTTGATAATTGTTTTCCGGGTTTCTTTTGTCAAGCTGTGTTTTCGGAATTTTAAACAAACTGGTTTCCTTATCAATGTGGGTTTGATTAGTATGATTCATCTAGCAGAGGAAAAATAGAACATGAAAGCAAATTTTTTCTTACACAAAAAAGTTATTAAAATAAATTTGTATATAAATATAAATAAGAATGGTACATATGAATACACAATATTTAAAGATACATGTAGGTATTTACAGAATTTACAAGAAATGTACAATAAAAAATATTCAAAGTTTGAACAAAAAATAAATGAGTAACTGTATTAATTGCTTCACAGTGCGTATATGACACATACAAAACAAACGAACAAGTTGAAAAAAACAAATATTTAAGAACAAGAAGAAAAAGCAACAATCACATTTTTTTCTTTTACAATTCACACTTAAAATATAGAAACTCAGTCGATTAATTATCTATTTCCTATACTTTTTTCACAAAAAGCCTAATATCTTTGTTTACCTTTACTGCAAAGTTAAAAATACTCATTCGCCCTACCTTGATCCTTACCTGTCTGGTGGGATAGCCACTTCAGACAGATACAGTGACCATGCGCGTCACTATCTTATTCTATAGATAAATCACATTTGAAAATAATGTAATGTTTTTAATCATATGAAATTCTCCTCAATTAGGTGGGAATGGGAAACAATAAAGTAATCGCTCTACGGTTGGAAGTACGTCTACGCCCGCGCTGTGGGCTGTAACTTCCTCATAACACGTCGATAATTTAAAATATCGATGCAGCGATTACAAAGGATAAAAGAAAAACAAACATGGAGTCCTAGTCATCGTGTCCTCGAAGTAAAATTTTATGTTATTTCCCTAAATGTATTGTAAATCATAAAATATGAAATGTTCATTTTTTATTCGATAGATAAAAGTCTGCGATAAAATCCATAACTAAACGTAATCATACCTGATTTGAATGTAGACAATATGGTAGTTTGAGATTCAAGAAGAAATATCACTTGAGAAGAAATCATTAATCTGTATAATTTTTGTTCATGTAGAAGAAAAAAAAAATTAGAAAAATTATTAAATGACAATTATAGTACTGCATTTATATATGAAAGTTACTTACGTAAAGTAGTTATTGTTTGAGCCAGTTTGAAAGAAAAGATGCATAATAACTTTATTGAATAATATTTGGAGTTGACTGAATTGTTTTTGGTTGTTAGAATTGATATATGTAAGTCTGCGACGAAACCCTTGAAAATAAAAAAAGTTAAAATTACAATAAATATAATTAGTAGAAATGGTTGCCACATTAATGAAATTTTTTCTCGTCATATTTATTCATAAGGTTACTAATAAAGTTGTGTATCATTATGACGTTATAAGTTTAAAAAAAGTAAATGAAACGCACACAACGATTATCCGAATAGAAAAAAAAAACTTACTTCAGTGCGCATTGCATTGATATGATTTTATTATATGACTTTTAGATGCAAAAAAACAAATGTAATGCTAGCATATCGAGTTATTTTACAAGTGTTATACTTACATTGTTTAATGAACATGTACAAAATGGCACAACTCGGAGTTACAATTGTGAAAGATAAAAAAGAAAAATTTCGCTGCTGT